CGTCTGGGCCCAGGCCGAGCAGGGAGCTCGGGGCCACACCTCGTACGTGCCTCCTTCCGCCTGAGGCCTTTGCTGGGGGCAGATTATTTCATATATATAGGATTAGTTTGCCTGTTTCAGAGCTCTAGGCACCTCGTGCCCTTTGTATGATGTCTGGGGAAGTCGCAGGTCGCAGCAAGTCTTTTCTGTGGGCACTTGAGTATTTTCACGGGTTTGTAGAATTACCTGTAAGCTGTCAACCTGAGCCTCAGGGTCTTGCAAGGTAAAAAGGTACAGCCGTTGCTGTCGCTCTTCTAAACGTTCTTACAGACTAAAGGGCTGTTTTCACTGGTGTGTGTAGCTATACCCAGAGTCAGCTTTGTGCATATGCAGCACACAGTTCTTGTTCCTGTGGCTTGACTTCATTCCTTTCCAATTATATGCAAACTGAACATGGCTTCTTTCCCTCGGGATTCCCTTTGCTTGACAACACAATAAATAATCCTTATTCCTCCCTTTAACACAGAAGTAAGAAGAGTAGGGAGACCCTGTCTCATTCTGGAACACAACCTTTGCAATGAAGACGTTGCAGATCTGTGCAGTGACTGATGTTGGATATAACCAGTGAGACTGAACCAAGCTAGAAATGTCAGTGGGATAAGGGAAGGACATTTGAGCTTCATAGGGGTGCAGGGTTCCAGTGTGGTTCTCAAACTTCCATGGACAGCAGTGAAGGAATATAGGCAATGTGGAACTATTGTTACAAGCATTTCTTGCAGAAGGTACTAAAAAGTCCAGGGGAGGTGTTCAAATGTAGTCAGAAATAGAAGCTTCAGAGTGAAAGGGAAATTAGCCAGTTTACGGTCCGTCCTGTTTCAGGTTTTCTGTTGCCTCTCTCTTTACTCCTCAATAAGAAATTTTGTTCGCAGACCTTGAAGTTGTGTGGCACTTAGTGCAAACTACTCTGTCTTTGCAGCTTGAGATGCTACTTGACACAGTTGCCAGTTTCTGGGCCTAGCGCCGCCGTATTCCCTGGCAGGGGTAAGATGCAGTGGAAGACAACCTCTGCTAGAGTCTGAGCTGGAACAATCTCATTAAACTCTGCAGGCACAATATATACTTTAGTCATGCAGACACCGCATCTGAATAATGCTACTGCCGTGTTGTAATAAGTGTCTACCAGATCTTCATATAGCAGCTTCCGTGTATAACTGCCAAGTTCTCAAAAGTATAATAATAAAGAACATTTCTTAAACAGCCACTACCCCCTCCACGTATGCACACGCTCTCTCCCAGTCTTTTTGTTGTTGTTGTCCTCTTTACCCAAAGATTAGCTGGAGGCAAACATTTAATGTGGGAAATGCAATATTTGCAGAAGAGAAAGGCTGAAAACAAGGCCTTGTGAAATGGTGTTAGGCGTTTTCATACTTTCATTATGTATCAGGGTTATGTTTGATGGTGTGCCTTAAGTGAATATATGGTAAATGATAATCACAGTGTTTTCTACTAATGCCAGATGTATCTAATTTGATTTAAGATACTTATTTAAAAACAAAGGTGCAGTTGAAAATATGGTACTTCATGAAATCTGTTATTTTAATGATTTTGAGGAAGGTCATAGCTGTGAACATGCTAGCATTTCAGAAGATGGTCCCATGAAATTCAAGGTCGGTGTGGCTCAACACATACAATCAATGTGCCAGGGAGAGGCTGACCGGTTGCCGGGATGTGCACTGAGATGGGTTGGGCTCCAGTCGCTGCTCCGGTGCAATCTGCCTGAGAGCTTTAGATGCGGTACCGCAGAAGAGCAGAAATGTTTCTCCTAACAGTTCTTCATATCGAGCTTGTGTTTTCCTATGTTGAAACTTCGTTTTCTGTTGTTTCTTACTTGTATACAGTATGTTTTTAATTTATTACTCTGATTTTTTTTGAGAAGTTAACAGCTTGAAGTCTATAATTACAGATACAAGAAAATGTGTAGTAAATGTTATTTTTCTTAATTCCTTCCTTTTACTGATACTTTTTCTCAGGGTGATCTAGTATGTTAGCATTGCTCTAGTACAGGGTGCCATAATGCAAACTGTGCACAACAAAAGAATGTATTGAGGAAGTATCTCTGCCCAAAATGTCAAGTCTGGACAAAGTTGCGTTAGTTTCCTGAATTTGAATGCATAATGTTTTAAGTTTATCTTTGATAAACTCTCAGAGAGTTATTTTCTAACAAAATGTGCTATTATGCATTCCTAAGTTGCATCCCTTATTATATGTGTCTGTTTAACAACTGTCTCTGTTGTCTTTTTGGCCTTCGTTAACAGCGTAGCATAAAAGCCCTGGGGTTTTTATGTGTTGGACAGCACTGGGCTTGGGACTGCTTGGCCTGTGCTGCTTCTGTCTGACTGTTGTCTGTGTGCCAGGGTGTCCTGCCAGTCCAGTTGTGCTACATCTCTGTGGCAGCACAGTATAAAGAGATTTGGGACTGATTCTGTATGGGGAAAACAACCTTTTTCCAGGTTAGTTTTAGGGTGAATCAGCTCCCTTGGATGTGTCACGACTTGACCAGGAAACAGTCATGTTAGTGTACATGCATGTAGGTAACAACAGTGGAGAAGGGGAGCACAAAACTCCTTAGCACAGCCGTTGTCCCCAAATTCTTTGTATCACAGAAATATATTCTGAATATTACTGGAACTTACAATGTTCAACAACGAAGTATTGCTGTTCTCTGTGAATGTGTAATACTTGTATGTTGATAAAAACCAGATGTCTTGTGCTTAAAAGATTTGTTTCATGAGTATTATCATAATATGCTAGTTTGGATGCCTCTTCTGTAGCTTGAATTCAGCACACAATTACTCACTGTAGGGAAGTATGTACGTCGGTAGGTATTTCAAGAGCCCATACAGCCATATAAAATACTAAAGTGAAGTGTAGTTCACTGGTCATAGTGAAGAGAAGAATCTAGGAGATAGATTTCTCTGTAAAGTTTCTTCTGTTGGCATGTTTTCTGTTTTTGTTGACTTAGAGCCTAATAGTCTGTCTTACTTATGAGATAGTACATGTATAGAATATTATAAAAGGTATTACTGACCTGGGGCTAGGATTGCTGTATTATTCATGAGTAAAGAAGTTATGAGTGAGTTATGCAAGGTATCCCATTAAAAGTCTAATAGAACTTTGTATAATATCATCAAGTGTTGTATGCAAGCCATATTTCTTAAATGTGTTTCCTATTGGAGTGACTGCATTCTTAATGCTCAGGTTGCTTGATATAATAAATCCAATTCTATAGGACTTGAATAAAGAAAAAATATTCTTAGTTGTCCTTTGCTTGTGCTAAACGCCAGTGGATACCTGCAGCCTCTCTGTGAGCAATGACAGAATGTTAAGGTTAAATCTCTGATTTCCCTGGGTTTTGAAATGTGAGAAGGCAGGTGACACTTTGATATTTCTGGTGTTCGTGTTTAATTCATAAAAGGTAGTGCCTGAATCTGTTCCACGGTTTGAAACAGTGGGAAAAAAATCACCAACAAGCTAGAATTTATTATGCAGAATGTAAGGGGGATGGTCAGAGGCACACTGTGTTGTTGTCACATATGCCATAAAAGAATTGTAGTTTTTCGAGGCAGTAGCCCTGATTAACTTTTCAGTCAAATATATTGCACATAATTTTATTTTACATTTCTCATTTTTCATTCAGGAAGGCTGCAGACTCTGAAATAGCAGGGGGAACAGAAGAGTCACCTTTGAAGGATAATCTTTCACCATGGCAAGAATGGTTCATTGGCAAAGAGAAGGAACTACGTGCCCGCTTACAAGCTAGAGCTGCAGAGGTGAATACATCCTTTTGGCTTGATGTTAAGTCTAACAGAAGATAGCAAACACAGGAATTATATTTTTTCTTTTGATTGTGGGAACAAAGGTAGTTTTGTCTATTATTTTTTAATATCTTGGGCCTCCATAGTGTTTGTGTTTGACATGCTGACATGATTCATGCTACATGCATTCTCTTTTGCCTCATTGAAGTGGTGCTGTGTAATATTTTGCTTATCCAACTGTCAGGTAATGGTTCGACTTTAAAGGATTAAAACATATTTATATAATTGGTACCTTGATTTTCATCATGAGTACATATGCCTGCATGCAGATAGTAAAACACAACAGGGCGTGTGCTGAGTCTAAGTATGCCAAGCTACGTGGTTACATATGAGGCACGGTGTTGTTACCCACTTAATGTGTAGTTAAACAGCTGTCTGGTGTCCTTTCCCAGGATCAGTTTCCGTCTCCCAGCATTCTTCCTCCTCCTATCTTTTGCCCCCATGAAAATGAATACTTCTTGAATACTGGGGCTAGGGCAGAATTAAATTAGAACTGTATCTTTTCTTGATTAATATGTTTGTAGTTGCAGTCGATTAAATGATACTGTTGTTGAAAATTTAATTGGAAGTATTGGGTATGGTTCAACAATCACATTAAAGTTAGATCGTTTCTCACTTTAGTTACTGATTTACTTTTTGACCTTGAGCAATGTCATCCAATGTGATTCACTTTATCTGTAAAGTGAATGTAACATACAGCTGTTTTGTGTGGGCTATCTCATGTTGTTTAGGTAACACCCACTGCTGGGAGGTTCTGGAACAGTCTTTTAGAGGTCAGCATAACACTAAAATAGTTTGTTAAACTTGAGGAGTGTGTTCTGATCTGTTAATATTCACTGTACATTTCATGAGTTCCGCTTTAGATTTCAGTTTGGTAATTGTCTCTCCCTTCTTTGATTTTTAAGTACAGACAAAAGAGTCAATGTAATTTCTGGTGTCGTGTAGAAAATGTACTTTGTGTATGGACTTCTCATGTGGTCTTGATGGGGAACCGAAGCAATTTATTGATGTGTATCACACAATAGCATTTATACAGTACTAAATATAATTAGAAGATATCTTTCTTGACTAAATATTAAGCAGTCATAGGACAAGCATTACTTAAAGCCATGTAGAAATGAATGGAAAAGGTAAATGTTTTATTTATTTTTAATTTGTAAGATTTTGAAAACATGAGATGTTGAACTGCGATGTAGGCAACTCAAATAGCTTATACCAGGGGAAAAAAAATACTATCAACCTCTTGGTAATATACCAGAAAAGAAAAAAATATGTTATTGTGATATAAAAGTATGTTGCTACATTTGCATAAAAAAAGTATTCTGAACTGGTATGCTAAGAAACAGCTGAGAAGTCCCTGATCTTTTGCTGACAGCAGCACTGAGTCTGCCCTCAATGTTGGAAATGTGGATAAACATTTGCAGTAGATAATGGATGGGATCTTGTAATGTACTTACAGTGCCATCGCCTTTTATGGAAACTGGGATCCCTGCAATATAGTTCTCTCAGAATGCAAATGAGATTTTAGTTGCTATAACTTTGCCTCATACAGTAGCAACTACATTTTCGAACTATGGCTGTACTGTATTTTCTCTGAGCTCTCTGTGGGCTCCATTTTTTATTTGATGGCTTATTAAATTCAAATCCAATGTCATAAGAAGAAGGGGTTCTCTCTGAAATTGACTGTCATGTAGGGACCATGAAATGAGTTTCATGGAAGTAATTGCATCTATGTTCTAAGGTAGGAATTTTCATTGAAAAATAGCACTTTGTGCTAATGCACCTCTTAGAGAAGGTAGGCATCTTGAATTGTTGTCTTGGTCATGTTTTTTTCTTTGTTGATTCATTCCCTTGGAGAGATATAAGCGATTGCATATATACTGTTTGTCCTCTAAAGATAAAATACTGAAGAATTTCTTCTCTCATTTTCAAAATAGAGCTCCTGTTTCAAAGTTTGCTAAAATCTGCAAAGATTTTGGCTTTAATAAACTTTGGGTTAAGCCCTAAGGTTCCTGTTGTTCTGGTACTAAACATCACAAGTGAGTAATATTTCACTTAGCTTTTGATGCCCTCCTGAATGCAAAACAGTACACCCTGTAAATTTTAAGTGTTGTAGAAAAGTGCTGCTGCACATTAAGATTCTACTGACTGAAGAGGCATTTATATAAGCAGGGGAGTGATTTGCTATGTTGAATTGTTTCCAAAGCCTAATTAAAATATCTATTTCCAATTCATATTCCAAAAATTATGCATTTCCACTGATTATATTTGTGTTGATTGTCATCCATCTCCTCCAAAATCTTAATGAGGACAAAATTTCAAAATCTAGTGCTTGAATTGTTTTAAGTGCAGCACTGTTTCCAGTACTGAGTGTACTGGTATAGATGGTCACCACAGATTTAAGTTGAATACTTTTTCTTTAATTAGGAAATTGCTATACAGCTTAAGCAGGTGAAGCAAAAGGAAGAATATGAAAAGAGGAGAAGAATTGCTGAAGAGAAGCACAAGGAATGGGTTCAAAAAAAAAGAGAAGAGGTAAATATTGCTTTAGCTGCAAATGTTCTACCACATGCCATGCTTAAGTAAACCTATGTAAAATTTACTTAGGCTATTTGGACAACCATGTTCTTAGTTTGCTGAGTGAATGGATGTTTTTATTGAAAATTTTAAAACCACATCAACACAGTTAAACAATTCTTCCAAGACTTTCTTTTTTCTTTTTGTAAGGTATGAAGAGATTTGTTTTCTGAGTAGTTACCAATTGGATTACATCTTGTGCAGTAACCTTCTGCTAATTATAGCTGCAGTTCTGTCTTCAGTATACCCTACTCTTTCTGACTTACCCTACCCAAAAGCCCAAGCATTTTTGATAAAGTGTACATCTTAAGTGTCTACAATGTCTTGTACACCAAGTAGAACCAGAAGAAAGATTTAGTTAAGTACCGTTGTGATAGGGCAAATGGTATGATAGAGTTTAGAAGGATAATTGAGCTGTGAGACCAGATTCAGGAAATTCTCAATAGAACACAGTTAGCAATTAGGAATTCCTTCATCCAAAAAGTCTTTTTCGAGTGAGATCAAAAATTTTGTTAAGTTCTCTTGAGAGGGATGCTGAAGCCCAGGGTCAGAAGCAGACAGGCTCCAGACCTCGGTGGTGCACTGTACAGCTCCGTGTCACGTAAGGCAAGCAGGTGTGCTGGGTGGCAAAAATGGAAACATTTGGGAGGCTTGGGCTTGTGCAGTCCCTGGTAGTTCATGGACGTATGCATTCCTCGCTTACAGTCTGGAGCAATCCCAGTGGCTTACCGTTCTCTACTTCTGGTTCTGAGTAAAACCAGATGAAGATTGATTAAAAATATCACAATGCCACCAGCTGGGTTAGTTATCCAAACCTCATACGTTTGTTTTCACTGCTTCAGAGCTGCTTCTTTGGATTCAGGTTGGAACCACTAGAATAACCTGTGTTTGGATCTAACCTAATTATTCTTACTCTCAATGCTGACTGCACGATTGACATAAACCCGCCCCAAAACCAGTCCTGCTCTAAGCATTTATGATGATGTGGAAAGGGTCCTCCCTTATTAAAGTACACCACAAAAAGTAAAAGATTTATTATTCTGCACAAACAATGCCACTTTCCTCTTCTAAAATGCAAATTAAATTATAGGTGCCTGTAGCTACTCGTTGGCTTGAAAGAGTTTGGGCTGCCTGTTAAAACTGTTAATTTTCACACTTCAGTCCTTCCTCCTCCCTTCCATCTTCAACTTCTGTAAATGACCTGTTTGGATCTTCCAAAGACCTTTGTCTTTGTGGATTTACTGATCAAGTGCTACTTTTCTCTTGTCAATGGGAATAGGAGGTCTTTTTTATGGTAATCACATTAGTCCAGAGGACAGGAGAAAAAAACATTAGTATCTGGACTTTTTCTTATTATATTTTGAAAGGATAAAGTCATCCTTGTCCCAAGCTTTTACCAAAAGTGATCTGATTTTTGTTTAAATCCGATGATTCATTGGCTAGTCTTTTCTGTAAACTACACTCAAATCACGAACAAATTGAACTTAAAAGCTTAGCTATCTTTAGGGTCTTAACATTTATGCTGCATAGACCTTACCCCTTCAAGTTTCCACAAGACTGTGGATCTGGACACTGACTGAAGGGTAAATTAGTCAATTCGGTAACTAAGAAGGTGTTGAAACTTGCGTAAACATGAAGTTTAAGGTTAGATTCATGTGTTGCCTGGTATAATCGAGAAGTGGCATCCCTGCCCATGACAGGGAGGTTGGATTAGATGATCTCTAAGGTCCCTTCCAGCCTAGGCCATTCTATGATTCTGTGATTCATGAGCTCTGACAGTTGATGTGATTTTCTTGAGGAGCATGTATACATCTCGTATTTGTAAAAGATCACTTTGTTTCCTTCTAGAAGCATCAAAAGATACTCCTTGAGACAAAACTTGCAGTATTCTTCGGTGAAATATGCATTAAGTGGTCACCTTTTTCATATCCAGTTACTCATTCTGGGCTCCTGTGTGTAGACTGCAAAAGTGCTTTACTTGGAAGGATGCAGTACTTCTGGGGATGTTCCGTGCATAACCTCCACAAGTCTCTATCCTTTCTCATTGCTGAGAGTTCTGCTGATGAAGGAGGTAGGGAGTGGTTGAACATACATGAAACTCTTTCCTTCATCTTGAGCATCCAGCACCAGGAGATGCGGCGGAAAAATCTTTGTACCATGACTGTGAGATACTTTTATGTCAGAAGTAGAATGCTTGTATGTGCATAAAAGAACTCTGCATTTTTTCTGTTTGCTAAGCCACTTCTTTTGCATTTTGTTGCATGGCAGTGTCAGTTGTGATGCTCTGACTGTTGAATATTAGGGTTAGGTTAGGAAGCAAAGCTTGAGCACTGTTTTTGTTCACTGGTGGTTTCATTTTTTAATTGTTTAATATGTATTTAAAACTATATGCTGCAAACTTTTTTTAATGCTTCCAATCATTTTGCATAAAATATTTTTGAAAATAAAGGAGTCATAACCATTTAATATTCTTGCCTGTAAATAGCATTTGTGTTTATAAAGGCTTTAAATGAACTAGAAGTAATATATTGAAACATGAGCTATCAAATAACATTCTAAGCCGTGAAATACGTTTATGCAAATATGACAAAATTTTGTAGCTCACTAGGAATTAAAAGCTTAATCAAATCAACTGTCAGGTGCTACCCTGGTTCTAATGCCTTTACAGTTTTCAGTAAAATGCTAGATCTCTGCTGGACGAAAGTAGTCTTACTTTCTATCTTTTCTAAGGTTGAGTCATTTTTGGGCAAACAGTAAATTGTCTGTTTTCACAGAAAACTCATCAGGTGAAGTAAAGACAGTTTAATAGGTAAAGCAAAAGCTGCCTGTGCGAGAAAAGCAAAACAAGAAATTCATTCACCACTTCTCATGGGCAGGCAGGTGTTCAGCCATCTCCAGAAAAGAAAGGCTCGATCACACGTAGCAGTGACTTGGGAGGACAGACACCATCATTCCAAACATCCTTCCCTTCCTCCTTCTTGCTCCAGCTTTATCTGTTGAGCGTGATGTCACACGGTCTGGGACATCCCTTGGGTCGACTGGGGTCAGCTGTCCCAGCTGTGTCCCCTCCCAACTTCTTGTGCCCCCCAGCCTCCTTGCTGGTGGGATGGTGTGAGGAGTGGAACAGGCCTTGATGCTGTGTAAGCCCTGCTCAGCAATAATGAAATGACTGTTGTGTTATCAACACTGTTCTTGCCACAAATTCAAAACGTAGCACCAGAGGAGCTCCTTGTAGTTGCAACAATAACTGAAATCTCAAAAGCAGAGTGCTTGCATCCTCATGTTGTTAACATCCCTGTCTCTAGTCTTTAACTTGCATATAATACTTCATGCAATACCTAGCAAGGTTGGAAGAGCACAGGTATTGAAGTTACACTTTTTGCATTGGAAAAACTAATTATTCTAATATCAATGTTAATTTGACTGCAGCATGTCAAGTATTTTCTGCATTGTTGAATAGAGAATGGGGCATCTTTTTTATTTTTTCGTAGAAGTAAATATGAGAAAAGCAGACGTTTAACATAGTACTTTGTTCAAGTTTTTTTTATTGTTCATTTTTTCTTTCAGTAAGTCCTCATTGCTTACTTAAAAAGACAATTGTAACAGAAAGCAGATACTGGGAAAATTCTGCATTGATGCTTTTTCACTGAAAATTTTGTTCTTATAATTTACTTTGCTGTTGGCCGATAGTCTTTATAAGAAGGAAAAAGCATTAAGAAATATTAAAGCCTAGAGCCAACACACTATAAAATAATGAATGACAATGTTCTTGGAGCAGACTTCCCTTTCATGGCGAGCTGTGTGATTCCTCTCCAAGGAAAGACTTACAATCCAGCTCTTACACCAAAGACTTTGTTTAATGCATACTTTATCTCTCCATTGCTAATATAAACACTTTGAGCAGCAGCTTTGGCATGATTTTCAAGTTAAAAAGTCATGCTCACTCACGCTCTCTTTCCTTCATCCAATGAATTGTTAATTACTTTTTGAGGAGTGGTACCACTTCAACAGAACGGGTGGAGAATCCTGTCATCCCAGCCTGCAGCCTGGTCCCCAGTGGGACACCTTAGTTTGAATCCCCTCAGGCAGAGAGGTAATGAAATCCGGATCTTCCCTCTCCTAGGTTAATGTTCTAACAGCTGAACTATTGTTCTGAGTCAAAGCTGTGGTTGCTGCTGCATTTTATGTAGAGCCTGATGTGCTATGTATTTTGCCAGCAGTTTAGACTTGAAAGAGATGCTGAGATATTCGCCTTTTTCAAAATTGAACCCTTTAAAGAATTGTATTTGTCAGGGAAGCTTAAATATCTAGCATAAATACCTTTCAACCTTGAGAATCAACTGCATTCAAGAATTCAAATTTTCTATTTAGGTGCCCAGGTCTGTCTTTACATTGCTAACTTTTTTTTTTGGTAGCTCTGGGCTTAATTGCATAATTTGAATACTTTACAAAACAGTCTCTTTTTTTTTTCTTTTCTTTTAGCACAGTGTTGATGTGTCTTTACACAAAACTTTTCTGTGAGGTCATGCAGGGCTAGCTCTATGGCTATAATTTTAGGTTCCTGAATCTTAGTTGTGTCCAGACTTACCTTTAGATTTCTGTAAGTAGAATGAACTGACTCCTCATGGTTAGTGTTAGAATGAATTTTAGATAGACTTGTGGAGGAGGAATTCAGGGGGGCAGATGATTATAATGCACGTGCCCATGTATTTCAGCAACATCTGTGGAGTCTGCATTCTTCTGAAGACCACGAGAGTGTTCAGGGACCAAGTATGCTACGACTTTCTGCTTTGTCACGTATATTGAGCGCTCACATGAAAAAAACAAGAGTTGGGGAGAAAGATCCATATATGGAACCATTTTAAAATTCTCGAATTGCTAGACTGCAGTAGAGTCTGCACTGACTGTGTGAACTTGAGAAGCAAATCGTTGTAAACCTGCCTGTCAGTAGACACCATGGCTCAGTGTTCTTTCACTGACCTTCTTTCTAGCCTCTTGGTTTTTTCACATGCCAGTTCTGCAGATATTAAAGAAGTGTTCCTGTGGGCTAGGCTTGGTGACTGTTCTGTGTAATAGGGCTAAACTGAAAAGATAATCATGATTGGCCCAACAACCCAAATTTCTGACGCTGCCATCAGTTAGCATAAAATGATGCTAGCATATGGTAATTGAGATGTCAGAGCAAACAACTGTGAAGTAGAACTATCAATTATCTATGAAAAGAAAAGTGTTGTCACATTCTGCAGACAGAATATGGGAAGGAATTGCTATGAGAACTATCTTAAAGACATAAACCACAGCATTATTTTCTGGAAATATTTCTGCTCAATGGCATGCTACATAGAAAATGAAGAGCAGAAGTCAGCTCTGCACTTTCTCCTTTGTCATTTAATCATTCATATGAAATACAGAAATGTATGTTTTATTAATTTTATTCCAGATGGATATAGTTTCTCTGTTTTGATGGTAATTGGTGTTTTTTTCTGCCTGGAAAATTATTTAATATTTCTACCTTCTGTCAGGAAGCACAAGGAATGCTTCTTCAAATTTTACGTTCCTTTGACAATTCTCCATGTGTACTTAGGTCTGTTTTTTTCTTGAAAAGTTAGTAGTTCTGCTGAGGACACATTGCTTTTGTACCGCCTCTGAGACACACGCTGCCTCCTGAGTCACCATCGCTGCTTTGTGGGACGGCTGGATTTGGGTTGGGTGGGGGATTTCCAAGTAGTGACCTAGCCCAGGCTTCATTAGGTTCCGAGGCTTGATAGGATCACAGCCCAGAGTGGTGAACCTGCAGGGCAGATTTGTATCCTTAATAACGTGCTTGGGTGGGGTGACGGGAGAACAAGCCTTTCTTGGAATGAGTAATTGGATGGTTTACAATCAATACCTTAATTTAAGTAATACCTGTAATCATATTTTAAAGTGTATGTAAATGTATGAGTGGTTTAGTGAATAGATCATGTCTGTTTTGAACCCAAGATCAAAGAGAATTTATAAAACCCAATCTGACAACACCAAGCATAAACAAATTATATAATTTCCCTTCCCCCATATGTACGTGGAGTGAAAGGAGGGCTGAAGAACGTGTACATTAATATGCACATTCCTAGCATTTTTGATAGGCTTGTATAAGGGAAGGTAGTGGGGACAGGGGCGGGGGGCGGGAAGCTAGGAAGGCCAGGGTGGCAGGAGCTTGACATGAGACAGGTTCCTAAAGCAGCTGGGAATGTGCTGTGTGAGAACTTTATGAACGAAAAGCTGTTCTCTGCATGAGAGAAAGAGGAAGCGTTTCATTTGTCTGTGGAATAATATCTAGGCAGCTGCAAAGTCTGCAGTTCTTCAGGGAGTCTCCTCGTCTTCTGGATGTTTCACTGGAAGTAAAACTTGGCAATGGTTCTGGCTTTCATGGTAGTGTACACGGCACGTCATTGTTTACATAGGGCCTAATTTAACTTTGGGTCAGCCTAGATAGTAGCTGAACTCATCTGAGGTGTTGTGATTAAAGATACATCATTTAAGAAGCTTCGCTGCCTTTTGATTGCAGTGTTTAGAAAGGTTTTTAGTCTATTTTCTGCTTGTCATTGTTGTCCATTATTGAACAATTCCCCTAGGTATGGCATAATTTTCTCCTATATTTATTTTTGTGCTTTTTATATGATAAAACTCTTAGCTAAAGACTAGCTTTGAAAGATCCCTGGTTTTCTAGCTTGTTTTCATGTCCAATAGGGATAAGTCAGCAAACAACAAAAGATTTGAAATCATTGTAAGCCTTCACTAGTGGTTTTAACTCACTGTTTTAGCATATATATCTCACCTACATTAATGCTTTTTATGTGTCTCAGACTAGCAGTCTCAAAACAGAGTTTGTTGACTGATACGTGTGGGTTATACTTGGTAACAAAGGGACAGAGGAACAGCTCTGAATAAAAGAGGTTAAGATGAATTTTAGACGAGGGAGAGAAAGCTTAGATAACTGAGTATTTGTTTTTCAGACAAGTAATACTTAGGATCTGCATAAGTTGCTAAAAGTAGATGATTTTTTCTTTTTAATGTATATAGGCATGGAAAGGTTTGTCTCATATTAAGAAGGATCTTGATTCCATTCTTCACTAATACAAAAACATTGCAGAATCTCAACCTTTTTTTGGTGAAATCGTCTGCCATGTGTACACAAATAACTCTTTGTTATCAGGTAAGAATAATTGACAAGAGTATACCAAAACAGTCGTACTGGAAGTATCTTCATATTTAGGTGAAGAAGCATCCACCTCATAGATTATGGTAAATACAGTTAATAAGGCATATCTTGTAAAAGGGCAGAAAACCCCCACAGTTTATGTATAATTTGGCTGCCAATGGTAAAATTGTAGTATTGCTGCTAGTGTTGGCAAACACTGAATGGGGCACATTAACTCAAGCAGGTCTGTAAACTGACTTCTTCTGATAAGAAAGTCTGCAGTTTAGCATTGTGACATGCTCAGAAAGGAAATGAATGCGAAGAGTAAGCTAAGATTATGCTTAGAATTATTTTTTATCGAGGTGATTTCATGTAGTGTACATAAGGATTCAGACTTGAAAGTATTTATTATCCAGTGCTGTGCCTTACAAAAAATCAGCAAATGTTTTAACCTAAAAGCAATGCATTTTCTCTTTATTGGCCCTGGTTTTGCACCTCATCATCTCGTCCAATAAATGGTAGAAATGAGTTAGTGTTTTGCAGGGCGATATAAGCTAAAGCTTTTACTCAGTCTGGTGCTACTTTGTTTGATTACTCCTAAGTTTTGATATGGGGCACAAGACTTGAGCCAGCAGGTATTTCGGTGACTTGTAGAAGGGGCTGTTTGCCTGACTGCCATTTCGAGCTGTAGTTTGCTCAGGATTCATGGAGAAGTAAAATCTGACACACCATTGTCAAGAATTGTAACGTATATTTCTTTCCCAGAACTACTGAGACCGCTTTTCAGATATCTGAGTAGATGAAACAGATTAGTAAACATAATACATAAGGAGTCCTGAAAGCAAATTTTTTTGTCATGTTTTGAGACAAGTTTATATGTTTAAACTTATTTAAAACTATTTTATCTGAAACCTAGTGATAAGTAGGGGCTGTCTTCAAAGAGCTTACAATATGAATTTTTCTTCAGGGTTGTGATAATTTTATTTATAATTATGTTGAAGAATTGCCTGTTGAAATATACTGAAAAGTTTCTAGTCTGTTTCTTTGATTTTTTTCATGTAGGAAAGAAGGGAAAGGGAAAGAAAGCTGAGCAAAGAAATGTCAGAAAAAGCCACAAGGGAACTAGAAAAAATGCAGTTAAAAGAAAAGGCTGAAATAAAATATAAAGAATGGTTAAAGAAGAAGAGAGATGAAGAGACAGAAAAAAAGAAGAAAGAGAAGGTATTAATCAAATAATAATTTATTTGGATGGGATTACCTAATCATTAATGACATATATTAAAGTTATTGGTTGATTATAGTTTATCAAATGGCAGTGTTGTAAATAAAGAAAAAACCTTTCAAAAGTTATGATGCTAAAGACATTGAGGTATGGCCAGCAAAGCAAGATGCCTATCAATGCATTTTTGGTAGGAGTCTTTGCAAACTCACTGCAATTGGGATATGATAGGGGAAAGAAGAAAAAAAGCACACCGTGTGTATTCATTTTTTTACAAGGTGGCCCAATGTGTGATTATGTGGATTTTTTTCCTAGCACCACTATTCTGTTAGATTATTGTGCTTGCACATATTTCTAATTGAAAGCATTTTCCTCATATCTGTACCAATCTGATGCTATGAGTTCTAACTTTAATGTTATTTCATATTAATTAATAACCTATGTATTTTTATAGTGAGCTTCCATAGACCTCTTATTTCCTAAAGCATGGCCTTTGCGATCCTCTAGTTCACGGGATCAAATGCTCTAAAAAGGCTATGCTTGCAGGAATCTCCTAGAATTCCTCTGAAATACCACTCAGTGGTAATGATTATGCCCTCAGTGGTAATGATTATGCCTCAAAATTATGAAATGTGTGAGCAGAAGTCTTATCTGTGAAGTCGATTGGTTGTATTTTAATTTACTTCACAGAACAGTATAATTTTTCAGTAGAATATGTAATATTATAGGAGCACTGTAGTACTGTTGTAGCTAAATGTGGGGAAGGGTTATGGTGAGAAGAGTTTATGTGTACTCTCCCTATAATTGCAGCAGTTGTCCTTAGAGAGCAGAACAGATTTGTAAGTATTTTACAAGAACATATAATAATTTCTTTGGAGTAACTTTAAAATACAGTAAGATAGATCAAGTTGCAGGCCTTAACAACCTTAAGTTTTCAGTCTTTAAGAATCTCTCATATAACTAAAACACACATAAATACTCTGCACCAGTGGTGTTTATTTTCCACTTAACAAACTGAATCTGTGGCTCTGCTGATCTTCTGAAATGCACAGCACAAGGACCTGGAACCCCAAGAAAATTGAAATCATCGTACAGATGTAAACCATGGGCATTCTCTAGTCCTAGTCCTGTAATGAACTTCTAGTTCATTATGAAGGTTCTTAAAAATCCAAGTTTACACATAAATACTCTGCACCAGTGGTGTTTATTTTCCACTTAACAAACTGAATCTGTGGCTCTGCTGATCTTCTGAAATGCACAGCACAAGGACCTGGAACCCCAAGAAAATTGAAATCATCGTACAGATGTAAACCATGGGCATTCTTCTAGTCCTAGTCCAAGTTTGCAGTACATATAAAATTCGGTTTAAATCCAAATACCTTTACATCCTGGGTTTACTCCTGATTAATGGTTCCCCAAGCCTGTTCCAGGTTTGGAAGCAGCCCCGTCATGGCTGGTACGAGCTGGACAGATGGGAGTAAATGAGAAATGGCCTCTGTAGGCTAACTGCAGCACAGTAGGCCCTGGACATCTGCCCTTTATGTTCAAAATAGCTTCTGTATGTAGTCTTCCAAAAGCTTTCTGAGAGCTTTTTATCAGAATAAACACTGGATTAATGTGGAGGTTATTGGATTTTTTCAGACTTAAAGAAAAAAAATCAACTTTTTTATTGTCAGGAAAATATATTTGTATTTGAAAACGTACTTGAAACCTATTCAGCAGTCTGGGAATCTGCAAAAGTATTATTCACCATTTTGTTTGTATTGTACAGGACCTTGTCTGTAAGTATCTTAGATTTTAGATTTTTTTATTTTTTAGGAGAAAGAAAAAGAAAGGGAAGCTGAGCTACAGGAGAAGAAAGCAAAATCAGAGAAGATCTTTAAGGAATGGCTCCATAATGCTAGAAATAAACCACGTCCTGTTTTAAATAGTTATGGCTTCCCACATGGGAAGTCTGCAGGTTTGTACTTCTACTACACATCTGTAGTGACTTAGGTTTGTGGTTCCTTCCCTCCAATCTCTTAACGTAAAATTAAACCTGTTTAAGATTTTCATCCAATATCTAATTTTGGCACATGGGAATGAACATCTCTTATGGTGCAAGTCAGAGAAGCTTTTATGCTGAGACTCTCTGTGCATTTTTCATAGCCCTTCATGTTGTTTGGGAGGAAAATAATATTATTTGAGAGAATAATGTGGTGTACTAAATGTGAACTGATTTTAATCTCATTTTCCTTATCAGGCATGGGGATCACAAGACCCAGTTACTTGTTCCTGTGAAGCAAATTGGTTGTGTTGGCATCCTTGTAAAGTTTATGTTTGTGCTACAGGAGGTGTGTGCCACCTTACCACACCTGAATCCCCCTTAGAAAAGTGTTTTTTTGAGATGGAGATTAATTAGAGGCTGACAGATGTCCTGTCTGAAAAAGGAGACATGGGAAACAACCTGTCTTCTGAGCAAGATTTCCTTTCTGTTTAGCTTTACGCCTGCACTGCACCTTCTGTACAAAGCAGGTGAACTGCCTTTGCTCTTTTGCTTACATCTGCTTATGGATGGTGATCCACTTTCCCAAAGTGTTTTGGTTTGGACCTTCATTACTTCCTGACAGCTGCATCCCTTGTTTAAGTGATTTTTGAGAAATATAACTGTACCCAGTTGTGTTCCTGCAATAGAATGTATTACAGACTTTGTTCTACCCAACCACCTGATTTATGCACTACAGACAACATGTTTCTCCTGATGCATTTTAGGCTTTCTGATAGTGCTTTATGGGCCCTAGGTTACAAATTGCAGATTACTCATGTATATGTGCATAATTAGTGTATTTTTCACGTCAATAAAATAAAGAATATCAGATAAGCAAAGATAGAAAAATGTGAAGTTTGCATATGTGGTGACAGGAAGTTTTATTTATAAATGCTTTGAAATAATGCAAAGTAGCCAGTTCGTAGACATTTACAGCTTTTAAGTACATAAAGGACTGAGGATTCCAAATGTTACACAGCATTCAACCTGCTTATTTTTATAAATGTAGATGAAGAGTATGCCAGTTACTGGTAAAAAAAAATGGTGGAAGGTTTTATTACTTTGAATACTTTCAATTATGTGATGTGCCTCTGCTGTCTTTCTCTGAAGATGCTATTGTGTCTTTGTTAGTCCATCTGATTATTATAACTGTTGGCATTGTAAAGCTTGTAGTGTAAACATTCCTTGTTAGTTATGTGTATTTTCTAAATGTTTTTAGGGTATGCTAGTGGAAATTCCTATCCAGCTCCAGCATATTGTAATCCCATTCCTTGGAAACCTGTACATGTGCCTCCTCCAAAGGAAGAAAACGTTCATACCGTGAAGAAGAGTAAGAGACCTGTATCCTCTCAGTCACGTGTGCCTTTGCCTGTGGTAATTTATAAGCCCAAGAGCAACCTTTGTGTTGGATCCTTGTGCAAAGAGTAGTTATAGTACAGAACCCAAAACTATTCTAGTGATATTGAGTGAACTGGGCCATGAATATGAAGTCCTGTGTAGCTGTATGTCCAGAACAGGTGACTACTTTTTGGATTTGTTTTGTGGTGTGGTTTTTTTTTTTTTTAATTTTTGTAGAAGGGTTTTATAATTACAGGTGACCAATCAGCTTTTTAATGTGTTTTTTTTTTGTGCTGCATTTTAGTAAAAAAAACAAAACAAAAAACCCAAGCAAACGAAGAAAAAAGTCGTATTTCGCCAGTTGTGATGGGACTGTACCTAAATACCAATAAAGCGTACAGGATTCTTTCTTCCGTTCTTCTTCTTTTGTTCTTGAAGGAGTTCTTTTGTGTATGTGATTATTCTTTTGGGGTGACAGTATTACTGGGGTTATTTTAAAGATGCTGGTTATAACAGACTTTAAAACAATTCTTGGCTTAATGCGGAAGGAATTCAAGGCCTGTGTGCAGTTGCAAGGTGGACATTCTTCAGGCAGTTGGAAGAAGCCTTGTGCTTGAAGGTCCTGGTCTCACAGGGAGACCTGATCCACCCTGAAATCTTCTGGAAAGGTAACACAGCAGGACACAAGCAGTCAAGGGAATTCCTGGAGAGCCCTGGGAACTTCCTAAGCTCCCGACACAGTGTGGGAAACAAGTGCCAAACATTTATGAATAAGTAATATGCAACATGGGTTATCATTATATTAGTTAATGAACGTCTATTAAGAGTACCTGATTTCCTGCAGTCTAATACTGTCATAGGCATACAGAGTAAAAAATGTGTAGTTTTTAATGCTGTATTTATTGAACAGTTTATTTTCCTATTTATTCTACTACCAAATTAAAACAAAGACACCTAATGCACCTCTTGTGAAAGACAATAAAAACTCTTAGCAAGGCTGCTGCCGTGACTTACTAGAATGATCTCTTAATGCTATTTATAGGTTATTTCCATATTCTGAAGTATGTAAAACTTTAGGTTTGCTTCAGGTCATTGTTATTTTTAAGACAGAAAAATAATTATAATGGTTCACACAATATTCTGTGTATTTACTTGGTACTAATTTTACTATACACACTTAGGAGAAGTCTGGACCTCATAAAATGTGCAAAATGTCAAACTGTGTTTTTGTTAAGGAGGAGAACGTGGGCTTCCTGGAAGAAGTGTGCACTTTATCTTCACGGTGTAGAGCTCCGCGCCTGGCTTTTTCTATAAGGACCTCCATGATGAATTGGTGTGAAACTAGTGGATTAATGGTTTAGTTGGTAATCCCTCCAGCTGACCTTGCCATGTGGAGGTGTCTTAAGAGAGTCAGAAGTTTGACAATCGTGTAAGCTGCCAGAAGCTTATTAGCGTTCAGATGAAGGGTCAGCACTTTCCAGTAATGTAAATAATTAATTTTGGATTATCCTACAGCGGTTTCTTGGGATTCTGATTTAGTTGAAGAGCTGTCAATTTCTCTAATGGTTTTGACGAAATAGCGTGTGGCCATCAGTAAGGTGTGTTGATGTAATTACCTGACTGTGTATTTACAACTTTGTTTTAGCATTTATGTTCTTGTAGTGACATAAAATGGCCTATTGTATGAAGGTGGGCGTTGATAGCATTTGTATTAAGAGAGTATGAGAAAATCTATGACTCGATTCTACTGTGACACATCATTGACAAGATTTCTGTTGTTTTCAACAGTGACAAACGGCAATTTGCAGGGCTTTCTATGATAACTCAATTGGAGTTGTCCTTCAGGACTGTATGTCTGCACCCATGGTGAAGAGCTAAATAAATCTTCAGTGTCTATTTGGTTCAGGAATAGGAATATAGCATTAAACGTTGAGGTCTAGTAGTTTTCTTTCTGATGCCTCAGCCAGAATTATTAAACTGAGTACTTACTGAAATCTCGTTTAGAGATTTTGGAGAATACTAATAAATATCTTAAGCTGTTATTCTTTTTTTCTCCAACCAAAGATAGTGTTATTTTTTTCTCCATCAGATTTTCTGTAGAACGGTTTATCTTGTCTTCAGAGTCAGAAAAACATTTAATTTGGAGAGAGCGAGCTTTAAGTGGACTTACTACTCCTAAACCAGCAACTTTAAGATGAGGCCCTTGCTGTAGCTTATTTATAGCACTGTAAATGCAGTTCTGTTCTAACTAAATTACAAATAAGGTTAAGGCAAGATAGCTCATGAGTGTAGATACTGGCTCCAATTCAATCAACATAACGGTTTTGCTGAGCAAAGAAGAGAAATATTGTTTGGATTTTTTCCAACAGGATATCAGCCACACAATAAAATGGTCTGACCTTGTAGCATAATTTAAGATCACATGTTACAGAAAGCTGTAATTTCATACTGTTGCAGCAAATAATTAATTTATACCGTTCTTTCTGAGATTTTAGATAAAATCTTAACACTTTGTTGTAACTTAAAATGGCATTGTGTAGTCTCTTATTGAGTTCTCTCCAGGATTCCTTCACTGATGAAATTTTACCATAGATCAAGTTTCAGAATCTCAAATTATTCTCTAGAAACAACCCAGAATCTTGCATCTTGATGTCTATGCTGCTAAAATAATATGAGACTCAACCCCTCATTTTTGCAGAACTTCTGGTTGAAGCATTCATAGACCACTTGAAAATTCTGGCTGCTACATCCTTCTAGGATTCGCAAACTTTCCTCCTCTCCATCTGTCAGTGCCACATTCAGCCTCACTGAAAAGGATTACATCTTCTATGGGCTTTTACTGGTTTTGAGAATTACCGTGTAGGTGCTCCGTAAAGTAGCATGACTTTCCATTAAGTGACAGTGGACCTGCACACAGGTGTTTCAGGGCTGGAAGTGTGTAAGCAGTAAAGTGGATGAAAAGAAGTCATAGAAGAGTGTATGATGAGTAAGAGGTCACCATTCTTAGGAAGCCTTGCATTCTTAGGAAGTAGTCCTGTTAACATAACATGGTGCAATTTAACTGTTGGAAGTTTTGTAACCCGTTCTGGTGTGGAGCGAAGGGCTTCACCTGAATTGCAATAACTGCATTAGATTCTACTAACGTCCTTGACAGTGTAATATTTAGTTGTAAAATTAATTTATCATTTTGAAAAGCAGGTTGACGAGTCGTCGGTACTCGTGACACAATTTTCACTGGGAGATTTTTGTGAGTAAATATAGAAGCGTTCACACTTTATTGCTGTGGTCAAAAGGTGAGTGTTCCAATCTCCTGTCCCTTGGGCAGCGTCATGAACTGCGTTTAAACTCAGTAAAGAAAAGGAAATCCGAGCACCCTGATCTAGTAAAGCCTATAAACACTTGATTAACTTGAAATGTGTCAGGGAGATCATGGATAAAGCATGGCTAATGCAGTCATGCTTTCCTGGATTTGAGGCCTAGGACCTAAAGCCTATTCAGTTAGCATAGTCTCCATTTCATATATGATATTATGTCCATGTTTTTACAAGTGTAACTCATTTTATAATGACCTATTAGACATTCCTCTAGAACAATAGTGAAGTGGGAGTAAATTTTTTCAAAATGTGAAGACTCTTCCTTAATATATGGACTTAAATATTTGCTTGATTTAACTTCGTACCTCAAGTGATTGCAGATATTTAATTCACAGGCAAATTTGAATTTACAGAAAATTGGCAGGGTGGGTGATTTGGAAGATGACATACTTGAAGCTTTTGATAGCAAAATCCATTGAACTGTGGACAGATAAAAGGGTGGATGCCAGTATGGTAATGGTATTGTTACAAAGGACTTGGACTCTGCTTTCTTTTACTGAAGTCACAACTGAAATTATTTCTGTATTATTAGCACTAAACAACAATAAGTGGTTAACCCAGCTAGATAAGTATCATACTAAGTGCTTTTCTGTATACGTTCTGTGGAAGATGGGTCTTTGAGTTTTGCAGGCAATTTGTTTAAACTGTGCAAGGTTGTGTCTTCTGGGATTAAGGCAACAAGTTGCTATTAAGTAATCCAGCAATGCCAAAATGTTAGTAGAAGCCAGAATGTTTTCTTCATAATTTGAGTCTAACTAAAACCAAAAAACCCTGCAAGTCTTATTAGACAGTGTCACCATATATGCTTGTACAGGTACGAAATCCTTAATGTACAGGTTGTTTTGATTAAGATGTTGATCAGGGTAAGAAGCAAGCTTCAGTTTGCCCTTTACATTGACACGTGTGCATCCATCTTTAAATAACAGATACTGAAAGCTATGTAGAATATTTGTCAGTACCCAGGAGGAAAGCGAGGTGACTGTGGTATGCCTGAGTTCAAAGAGCCCTTCAAAGATAACAATATAAATCCACGCTTCAGCCTTTGCTAACAAAATTGTGATCAAGTTATAGAGGATGGATCCCAGGAATTCTTGTGTTGTTCTGGCTAAGTGAGTGCACTATTTTAAAGAGCTAACACCAATGGCTTTATTTTCTCTGCTCAGAAGTGATTTCTCTGTGTTTGTTAGGATGTCAGTTCCCGTTGAGCATAGCTCACGACGTGTTGAGATAGGCACTGACAGACGTATAAAAGGACATGCAAAGTTTGCAGAACTGATTTCCATACCAGATGTGACTGCCAGGGATGCAGAAAACAAAGATGAAAGGCAGATGGCCACTGAGGTTGCAACTGTGGATGGGCAGAACACAGTACCTATGTTGCATTATTTATTTCACATGGCATAGAAATGTACACAAAAAAAAGTGAGTTATTGTGCTCATGCAGCACTTTTCTCCTATGCTAACCTGTGCACAGTTTGTCAGAGCTGTATCAAAATTATCCCAAACCAAGCATGAATGACAACAGCTTTAAGCACCCTCACAGTGTGATATTTATTAAGCTAAGCACCAAATCTGCTGCCATGATACAGGGTTGAACATTGAACCTTTTGGCTAGCACTTGTTTATAATGTTTCAGGCAATTGCAGCTGACATAAACTGTACAAACCTTCCTTGTTTCCTTCAACCTCCGATGACTTTACACAACTTAGTGC